CAGTGCTCAGTGCGTATGTTCGCCCCCATGTCGAATATGCAATTCAAGCCTGGCATCCATGGCTGAAACACGACCTTAATGCACTGCAGCAGCCACAACGCCGGGTATCTAAGAACGTAATTGGAATGCGCAATCTTTCCTACCAGGAGCGGCGGCAACGACTGGGATTGTTCAGTGGAAGCTATCGCAAACTACGAGGCGACCTGATTATGGCATACTTGATTCTGCGAGACCCACATCATGTGTGCCGCCCTTTACTGCAACTCAGCAGCAATACAAACCTGAGGGGCCACTCATTAAAACTCGCAGAACAATACAGTCGTCTGGAGTGCCGGAGAAATTTCTTTTCCATCCGTATCTGTCACCCGTGGAATGCTCTCCCAGAATCGGTCGTCTCTGCACCGACACTAACAGTATTTAAAAGACGGTTGGACGATGCATTCATCCACTTACAATTTGTTACTTAACACTACGTCTCCATCCTACACCTGGAGTTCATCATGGAATTATGAATCTAGGAGGATTGCAGGACTGCAGAGAAGCAAACAATAAGTCCTTATTTTCATATTTAAAGTATTAACTATTTTACTATCCTTATCATCATTATTGTTATGTTGATTTCTCCTGCAACTATCCAACGAGACTTGTAGAGCAGCGCTTCTTAACCCGTATAAATTCATGGTTCATTGTTCATGGTTCATTATCAGTATTGTTTTACACAAATGGTCAAAGCGTACAAATGCGCTGCAGTGTTTCTCCTATTAACAGTCTTTTCAAACTGCGTTAATGCAACATGTAACGGTGGCTCTGTGGCTTCCGGAACATTCCAATGCCCTAAAAGACGAGCGTCTATCGGCACACTCTATATAGGCGGATGTAAACAAGCTGCAAACATCATCCTCCTTCCCTTCCAGTAGGTCGCTGTTCACTTTGCCGGTTGTGTTTGTTTGTGATACTGTCTATCGATAGACCGGGTACTGTCGTGAGCTGTTATGATATTGAACTCACCACAACGTGACTCAGACATCTTCATAAAATTGTGCAGAGAGAGTTTAACTAAGTACATTTCGACATATGACGCAGAATAAGGCTGTCCTCATTTCAGCCTGCTCCCCGAACTTTCAATGGAAACCAGTACATATGACTGTGTTCACACCGACAAAGCCAAAGGAGGAATTTTTATGGTGGAGCACATTAACAGTTTGCAATACTCACTCGGTATAAGCATTTTGGTGACGCTTCTCAGCATCTTAAGCCAGGTTAGTTGAACAAAATGGTGGCGGCTGAACACTTAGATATCTATACTACAACTGCATATGAATACTGTTAAGTACCGTTAGTACGGAGGATACAAGCGGTAGTCAGCTCATTAGGACATTAGGGTGGTTATATCCCTACGCATTATTGTTGGTGAGACAACTGTGCTATTCTGTGTAGTATTAGAAGTCCTAACTCAACTAAGGTGGAGCTTATATATCTGCATCTTGGTCAACTGTGTGATGTGCAACTGCCTTATTTAAGTGCACGACATTTCACTTGACAAAAACTTCCTCGGTCGTCCAACCGAGCCTTCTAAACGAATAGCTTACCGATCGATTCTAAACATTTGCGGTGAAATCGGGTATAACACTGCAATTTTCCAGTGCTACTACGCGGATTAATGGCTCCCCGTTGATCCCATTACTAGGCATTTCTCATCTGACCATAAGTGTCTTGCGAAATATGGTTATGTATGACTGGACCACTAGCAAGGGATACTGGGACGGATCTTACTTTGAGACTGCATCTCATCCTCTGATCAGGTAGTGTTCCTTGTAGTCCTACCAACCGTCCAGCACACTTTGTGTTGCTTAAATGGCACGCGTCTCTTGGGAACAAGCTACGGAGTGATAAGTTAAGGATTTTGGTGCAGACGGCAATAAATGAGCTGAACATCGGAGTGGTGCCAATATGTGCTGGCATCCTGGTTGTTTGTTTCGGGGCTGGTGGGAACAGCCTTTATTGGTTTAGTATCGTAGCCGGTAGTGCATCTATGTCCAGTCGCTTGACTCCGACTGCGAGTAATTCCTGATTCATATACCGTGTTTATGCTATTTTCCGGTAGCGTTTGTCTCTTGAGCTTCCCGGAATTGGACTATCACCACAAGCGTCACGACAAGGACCAAGCAAGCAGCATCCATAGAACTTCGATAAGTTAGTCATTTTTGCTGCGCTGAACGTCCTTCGTATCAGCAGTTTTATCATTTGGATGCCACTCCAGGACACTGGTAATGAGCTTTGAACTTTGCTTGTCATAACTAAGTGTAGTAACACTGCCATTTGCCTCTGCTCACTACACTGTCACCCCAGCCATGGAGGAAAACAGAACACCGAGCATGCTGGACCTAAGTGTCATCAACAACATCATCATCATACACGTTAGCTAGAGGTGGGGAACACCTCAGCTACTGTGCCGCAATACACAGAAAAAAGGAGAGAAAAAACAGCTGGTGAAACCTGGCTGAGCTACCGGTAACGGATGGGCATCGTTTCGGTAAGCTACCAGCGGCCTGCTGTGCACCCAAAAAAATTATTATGCAAAATTATATAAGGCTAAGTAATGAGATCGTGGTTGGGAGGGGAGGCTAAGAGGGATGGGGTGGGACAAAGAAACTCACAGCACGAACGCCACTGATGTCGGCTCCTAGCCATATCAGCAAGTGTGTCCAACCAAACGTGTTCATCGTCTTTCGGACCCCAACCAGGGAGCCGAGACGCTCCAACCGAGGCCAGCTCAGAAGTGAGGGTCTTCATTCCTCTGGACCAAGTCATCGCTTGGCCACCCCTCCTCTTCTTCCATCCACACCCCCGGCGCGCAAACAACACACGTCGCGGAAGTCGGTGGGCTGGCATGCGTAACACGTGGCCGAGCCATCGGAGCCTGATGCGTGAAATGACGGTGCTGAGCGGTTCATTTCCTTTTCCTGTGCCATAAACAAGGCGTCGAACACGCTCGTTGCTCACGCGGTGTTCCCACCAAATGTGAGCTAAATTACGAAGGCACCGGTGGTCGAACGTAACTAGCCTCTTCAGGTCCACTGCTTTAAGCGGCCAGGTTTCACAACCGTACAGTAGGGTCGAACGTACTGCTGCATTGTACACTCTACCCTTCAGGGCAAGAGTGATGTCGCGCCGGCGCCATAAGTGGCGAAGGTTAGCAAAAGCGCCCCGAGCTTTTGCTATACGATTCGTGATTTCATCTTCAATCCCACGGGCGCTGATACAACTTCCCAGGTAGTTGAATTTTTGAACGACTTCTAGCTGATCCCCACCAAGGGTCAGCGTAGGAGGCGGTCCAGACCAATCTTGGAGGAATGCTTTGCACTTCGAGGGTGCGAAGCAAAGCCCGAAGTGACGGACAGCTAGTGCTAACCTGTCCAGTGCCGCTTGGCACGTTTGTGAGCTGTCACAGATTAGGGCAATATCATCAGCA